TGAACACTTCTGACTAATTGCTTCCCTCACGGCAGCCTCAACCTCGACAGCCTTAGACCATTCAGCCTCTTCCAGGACCACATGGACTGCATCCCTATCCGCCTCAGCTTCCTTGGCAGCCCGCACCGCTGTCTCCAATGCTCCCCTCATCTCAGCGAGCTTATCATCGGCAGCTTTTACCTGCCGTTCGAGAGCCTTCTTGTCCTTGATGAGGTTAGCATGGTCTTGGAGGACTTTGCTGGCCTTGGAAACCTTGGAACGGTCATTGTCGTACACTCTCTGTAATGGCTCGCTTCATCTAGAGCCACATATCCATTGATGTCTAAAGAAAGAATAACTTGAGTTAGACATAAAAGGCGTTGAGCTAAGTTAATTCAAAAAATAGCGAAACATATTGAAGCTTGGAGTCGGAAGGCACGACCAGTCTCTTCTCGAATGAGCTTTTTCGGTAACTCCTCAATCTTTGAATGTTTTATCTGCCAACCAACGATCGTATGGTTCACAAATTGAATAGTCTTTAAGGGGCAGGTGAGGGTAACAGGTTCGGCGGAATCATCCTCATCCTCGGCAGCAAAGATGGCCCTCGGCTGATCGGACGAGCGAGTCCTCTTCGATGCCTGTTTTGCGTCCAGCTTAACGAAGACGGGACGTTTGCTAGCCTCCTTAGACAAAGCCAACTCTTCGGCCTGTCAGTTTTGGCCGTCCAACTGCTTCAGCCGTTCCCCCTTCAGCCGTTCCACCAGGGTCTAGTTTTCTAAATTGGCCTCCGAAGGCTCAGGGCCTTGACCTTCTGGACCGAAGAGCATGCTTGGGGCTGCCGTTGTTTTTTGGCCTCGGTGCCCATCAAAAGACGCCTCTTGGAGGTCTCCAATATCTTCCTGGCCTCCATCACTACATAAGCAAAGGATTAGGTAAGCACACTAAAGTTACTGAATGAGTAAACGGTAAAGAAGGCACTTACTCTCTGATAGGTCAATGAGCCGAGCCTTTATTAAGTTGGCTGTAAAAATGAACTTGGGGTATACCCGACTGAAAATCGGTACTTTTGCCTTCACCCACTCAACCTTCTGGATGTCTACCCTGGTTGGGATCGGCTGCTTCAACTTGCCTACAAATGAAACAACGATATTAGATTTGGTTATAAACAAGAAAAAATACAGCTCCTACCGAACGACATCCCATTGATCTACTGGCTATTTGAAAGGTTGTGGGAATGTGAAAGCGGACGGGCTTGTTTGAAGGTGATTCGTAATCGCTGGACAAGAGCACCCGCCGATTCATCCATGAATTCTGTGAAGTCGACACGACCCTCACAAAATGCCCATGTTCGGAATCTCGGAGACAGTTGGCCTGAACCCAACCTCCGTGACCAGCACACTTCGATCAGGTGACACTGTAGAGGTATGAGAACTATTCATATGTCGGCTCTTCCTCCTCGGCAATGTCGTACGCGACGATAACCCCCATCAGAGCCACCCAGAAGTTGGGGTTATACTAGCCTAGGGCATAACTTAAGTGAGCTAGGATCCTTTGGACAACAGGCTGCAATAATAGCCGAACCCCGAGCTTCAGAATGTCAGTAAAGAAGGCCACTTCACCATCCTTGGGGTTGCTCAAGGACTTAATAGGCCCTGGTATTCTCCACTGTATCGAATCCGGGATAAGGTATTCGGCCTGGTACTTCGCCAGCTCCGCCACTGTGATCTTGTTCGGCTTTAAGTAATCTACGCCGAACAGATACTCCTTGGGCTGGCCTAAAGGTACCCTAGGGTTCCCATGCTGAACTACTGTGACAACTGGCTGAAAGGAAGATTCGATGGCGACATCTCCACGGCCAGATGTGGAGGCCTCCGATTGGCAGTTGGTGTGTATCCCTCATCAGGAATTCGTAATATTGGCTCGTGCTAGCGCACTCCACACTGCACGGCACCACAACCAATGGTACTGCCCTATTCGTTGGTAGAACCTTACCCCTACCGAATGAGGGCACGACCTTGACCCTCTCACTGATGACCTCGATTTTGGCATCGTCACTACAAGCACTATCGTAGCTCAGTGCTTCAATATCGGTGTCCCTCTGGTCGTTCGATGACTCCCCATCGAACGCATTGGGTTCGTTATCATATGTTTGTGCCTAATCAATCTCGGCCGAGGAAGCTGACCGAAGGAACTTCCTCTTGGCCCTATCATCTACCCACGGCCGAACGTTACAGGTCATCGTTCGCTTCCCTTTGTTAAAAAACAAAGGCGAGCATATAATTCAAAGTCAACAACGGCCTCGACGATACTGGCCGAGGACAAACTCCTCAGATATACGGCCAAAGTAGGAAGGTCAAGTGGCGTCGCCACGTGGCGTTGAGGTCCCACGCTTCATTTAATGAAGTAACGCCTCTGATTACAGCAGGAGGGCCCATGATCCATATAGGAGCATTTAATGAGCCAAGAAAGCAGGGACGTGACTGAAGTCAGGGTATGGCGAGTAAAATCAGGGATTGGGTGCGAAAAGCTCACGACTTGTGAGATTAAGTCACCAACCCTCAGACCAGGGCATTAAATGCTCCTCCAAGGCCTGAAACGCAGAGCCCACCATCAAGGCGGCGGCCAGCATTTATGGGGGTCACACCACCATGCCTCACATTCCCAAATGCCGACTCGACTACCCACTAGCTCTGATCGACCTCACCATGCAGATTTTCAGCTTCATTGTCTTCTCAAGACCTTCCCTATAAATACCAAGTTCCAACTACATTTGAAGGGTTCAACAACAAACACAAGCTTCCCACGGAGCAGATTATATTTTTCTGTTATTTACTTCTTGTCATTTATCTTCTTGTAATGCATTTTCAATAGTTTTACTTGCTTTCTTAGGAGTAGTGGCAGTTTGTAGGAAAATCCATTCATCAATATATCATACGACCCTTGATTTTCAAGGCGCCGGAGCACCATCTTTGTTACTCTTTCGTTCATTTCATATATCATACGACCGTCGCCACCCGGCGACGCGCTAGAGCACCACATAAAAACCACCATCAGCACCACCATTAACGGCCTTGTAGCTTAGGCCGTGAACCTAACGGCCGAGATCAGTTCCTCTCTCGGCCACAATCGCTCTGATTAGAAGTCAGACTTAAACAGGCGCGCAACTCATCTATTCTTCCGACCGCATCACTCTCAAACGCACGGTAAACCGTGTTGGCACGCCCGCGCACAAACCATACGGCACCAAAAGAAGGACGACCTGTGTTGACGCATATCCTCTCAGCTCGGAACACCAGGTCGCGAGATTTGCGAAGCCAACATCATACGGTGACTCGCTATCAAACATCTACAAACGAAAAGAAAGAAACTAAATGCCATGCAAGGGAATCAAACTATGGATCCTAAGGCTATCGCTACCTATAGCAACTAGACTACCGAGCATTCATCGTGTTCATATATGTTCATAGTCTAGTTCAGGGCAGAAAGGTGCATTTAATCTGAAAAAGGACTAGAAAAGTGGAAATACCTTGTTTCTATGGTGGTGAAAGATCGCTGGAAATCGCCTAGACTGTCGAAGATAGATCGCGAAAATCGCCTTTCTCAAGCTCTCGAAATGGCTCTCACAAACTCAAGTGACTCTTCCATCCGGAGTCACTCCTATTTATATGGGCGAGGAATCAACCGGTACTCCTCGAAAAAAAAACCAACGCCATCATTACTTCAATCAGCATGCACTCCCCGACACGTGGCACCAATCAGAGGCGGAGGCTGTCAGCACGCAAAGCGCAAAAGACTAAGTGTTGTTCTATCATGTCGAACCCGGTTCCCAACGCGCACGCCGCACACGGAAGCCCAAGCAATGACGATATCAATAGAATGATCGGATGGTCTCTCTTCAGCTCTCAACACTCATCACCATTGCGAACGAAGGTAGCAGTCCATTGCTGTTCGAAATAACATGTTTAATGAACGGCAAGCACAAAACTAGTGAACCTTGAGAAGCCAGGGATGTGTTTCGAGCGAAGGAGTACGCACTAGCAAGGAAGGGCCCAAGTCCCCTGCTCCAAATAGAGCTATCGAACGATAGTACACGAAGAAAGCATGACAACTGAACTAAGCCATCGACAAGCAGAGAACACTGAAGATTATATCAAGTCCCCAACTAAGAAGTTTCCCTCATATGGGAACTTGGGGGACTCCTGTTTATACCACAATTGGCGGACCACTAAGGAAATGACATGTGGACTAAAGAGGGAATCGGTAAGGCCCTATTCGGCACCTCCTGACTGCCGAACGCAAGGCTAGAGCAGAAAGGCCTCCTGGACACGTGGAGCACCCACAGTGAATATCTATAGTCCCACATCGAAAATCTACACAACTTGCACACCTCCCAAGACTTATAAATGGGGGCATAAGTCTCAAAATGAAGGTAACTGGAACTTTCAGCATACTTAACCATTACTCTGTCCAGATTACTATTCACTCTGTACTTACTTAAGCATCGGAGAGCCTTCAACCAGTACCACACTGGTGCCTTAGGTCTTACCGAGCGTTCTCATTTTGCAGATTGGTCGCTCTATTTAGGGCCAGAGCATTCCGAAGGCCCAGACATCACTAAGTTGAGTCCAAAAGTGCTGAACCACTTTTTTGCATCAACACTTGCTTTAAAGCCAAAGCTTCTGTCTGCAAGTAGAGGTTTAGCATTTTGATCACGGATTACAAAACCTACTGAAGAACTTCCATTAGGTAAAACAGAGCCATCGAAATTAAGACTTACCAGGAGGACTCTACCCATAAGACTTACCATTTTTATTTCTAAAACTAAGACAACATGTGTTTTTCAGCCCATTGGGCCACATGAGAAAGAATATCAAGATCCCCAATAGACATGACCCAAGAATTGTCTACTTTCAGATCAAAAAGAAATAAAGAATTGTCCTACTTTTTTTTAGCAGAGAATTGTCCTACTTTTACTGCTTTTATGTCTTCTCAATTACCTTTGCCAATACCAGATCTCTTCTTAAACGTCAATGGCAAATTAAACCAACAATTTATTTTGTTACTTAAAAGAGAACAACACCTCAGGATGTTACACAGTCCAGACTTTATATCATAGAGCATCTAAAATGGGTTTCGCCCACAGCTTCCTTGAGCCCTCCTGAAAAGATTTGCTTCTTCAGAGAGCTTGCCGCTACAAGCGAAGATTGTTTTCAAAACATGTCTGTTTCTTTTCTTTCTTGGCTCTTCAATTTCTTCTAGCGTCTCAGCCATTTTTTATTTTCTTTACACCAACATTTTCAAAACCCCTTTGCAAGAAGATCATAATTTTCATCGTTTTCGTATGGCCTTTCCTGAGCATCTGACGGCTGACATTCTCTCAAGACTACCCGTCAAATCTCTGGTTCGGTTCAGCTCAGTACGCAAAGAATGGCAAGCTCTGATCAGAGACCCCCATTTCATTTCTCAGCACCTCAATCTGAATATTGCAAAAGAAGACCAAAGTGGACGCCTTCTGGTAAAGTACCGTTGCAATGTTACTCGTAAGAATGTCATTTCTCTGCTTTTACATGGCACACATGGTTACATGTTATCAAAATTGGAGATACCATCATCTGTAATGGATTCTCATCACTTGAAACTTGTGGGGTCTTCTAATGGCTTACTTTGTTTAGCTCATGATAAATCTGCTCATCTTTGGTCACCTATGATTTTGTTGTGGAACCCTGCTATAAGGGAATTTAGTGTCCTACCAGACTCAGTTATTGATTCTGTCAATGATGATGATAATGTTCAGGTCCGTGGCGTTGCCCACGGATTTGGGTACCACCCTCTTATTGATGACTATAAGGTTGTGAGGATTGTGTCTTTGTCTTGCTTTGGTAATGCTTGGATACGGGCGGAGGTGTATTCGCAAAAAGTGGATTGTTGGCAGGAGGTTAATACTTTTCACTTTGAAATTTATGAACATTCGTGCACGGCTCTGAATGGTTTGCTTTATTGGATTGCATATGGCAGGGGGGATCGTGAATTGATCGTATCGTTTGACATGTGTGATGATGTGTTTGGGGAATTGCAGTTGCCAGATTTAAGCTTTTTAGAAATCCCGATGTGCACAAAACTGGCGGATTTAAAGCAATCTCTTCATTTGATAGTGTATACTTTTAGTGGGAGGCAAAGAGAGATTTATGCATGGAAAATGATTGAGCATGATGCTGAGGTTTTGTGGAAAAGGGAATGGACAATTGGACCCCTGCTTGGAATTGAGAGGCCACTGGGATGCGGTTTATATGGTGAAATTTATATGGAAAGTAGAAAAGGGGAGCTGGTTTTGTATAATCCAAGTAGTGAAGAAGCTAAACACATTCCAATTCGTGGCCTTCGCTGTTCCTTAGAAGTCCATTTTTATGTGGAGAGCCTAGTTTCAACTAAAGGACAACATGAAGTCTTACAAGAGACTAACAAGAGGATCATGTAGTTCTGGTTCAGCTCTCTGTATGGTAAATGTTGTATGGAGTTGTATAAGAGGCTATGAAATGAAAGTGATCATGTAGTTTTAGTCTTTGTATGCCTTGTATTATGAAGGTTTACAAGTAGTCCTTGTGTTATTTGTTAGTATTTCTAACTACTGTGATGAGTTTGATTTATGGTGCACTTTCTTTAGATGTTAAATCGATAACAACTCTATATCTCATTTTGCTCTTTGCTACATAACCTGATTGTTCACTTCAGGAGAAATATCAACAGAAGGGCAGCCTAGAAGATTTCAAGTCTCAAATTCCACATTGTCTTCATGTTCTATGATCTGTTAGGGTCATGACAACTTCTGTTACAAAAATCTTCTGGCAAATATGTTCAACCAAGCTCAGGTGAGTCTGTTTCCTTTTTAGTTGTAATATGGTACTCGCCCCTAATGCTGTTGCTTTTATTATATCATAGAACGTAATGGTAAAATTAGTGATTGCCTTTTTGTGTTCCACTAGAAATTCACAGTTGCAGTAATAATTTGCTATTACAGCATTGGGTTGTTCGTTCTGTCAACTAAATATTTTTTGACAGATTTCTTATTTACCATGATAACATACATGCACTAGTTTGCAGAATTTGGATCACATGGTTTATAAGACTTTTCATTTTATAGTTGCAATCAAAATAAGCAGGGACTTCCCATTAATGCTTTTCAACTTGTTGCACATGGTTCCAGTGTTTCAACAAGTTCTCTCTTGTGGACTTTTCATTCATTCATGCTGCCTGCTAACTAGGAAATTGAGCAGTTAAATAAGTTTTGAGATTTGGACTGTTGTACGGAAACATACAAATCAATGACACCTTTAAATTGTAACATTATACAGATAAAATGGTATCTTTCCATTGTTGCTTACAACTGATGGAAGGTTATATACAAAATTTTATCTTCCTTTTTTTGGCTACATTGGTGGTGAGGTACAATATTTCACCTTGCTGGAGATGACGGGCACGTTTCATGCAAATGAATTCTTTTCAGAGGATCAAATCATAGTAAGGACTGTTGACGATGTTGGAATTTGACATGTCCTGGATAAGTATGCTATATAGATCATGTGACTGACAGACTGTGTTACACTAGTTGGAACATTAACTATGAAAATTTCTTGTCCCAAGTCACTTGTTAATTAGTTTGTTTGTTGTGCAGACTTTGGTGCCTCCTACTGTTTCCTGGTTTTGCAGGACAGTGAGGATAAAGTTCATGAAAGAGTGAATTTTGTATGTCTATCAGAAGAAGATTGAGAGGAAAAAGGAGGTAGAGAGAAGAACAATAGAAGGTGATGGTTTCACTATTTCAACTATTTCAAGTCTCTGCAAAAAAAGCTACTGTGGGTTTGAGATTGCCGTGGATGATTCAAAGCTACTGTTTCAAGCCGGAGCATGGACAACATATGAGAACAAAAGCCTTCTGTACTCCCTTGTATTTTGGGGCTTTTTTTAGTTTTTTTAACGTAGAAAAATAAAACATAACAGAGTTAGCCTTGTTATAAATTGAAGGACGCGTATCAAGCAAATATGGAGGAACATAGAGGGGACTGAATTTTGGGCACAGCAGATCCGATCTTTGTTAGTTTGCTGGTAGGTGAACCACGTGGATTTTTGTGTGTGGATTTTTTTCGCTTTCAATTCGATGAAAAGGTATACAAATATGTTTTTCATTGATAGATTGATTTGAACGAACTCTTAGAAATAGATACGATAATAATTGCATCTCCATATGAGAAAAACTTGGTTGCTATTTTCGGTCAATAACGTTTTGCCACAGAAAAATTATTAGCATGTCAAAACATTATTCGTCAGGGATAGCAAAACAATGTAAGGTAGTTCATGCAACTGTTTCTCTTTCCATATAGGTATTATGTCATGTGAATGTCAGAGCGCAACAATTTCTCATATTACTCAAGTATTTATAATTTCATACACTGGCTACTTTTCTGGTTGGTGAACCATGTGATTATTTTTTATTTTTGGCTTAATTATTGATTTGCCTCCGAAAAACTCAATTTTAGTCTCAATTTTCCCCCTTGAAACTCAGTTTCTCTCACTTTACCCTTCAAATATCAAATTCATGTCTCACTTTGCCTCATTTCGTTAACTCTATTAAGACAACTGTTAAGTCATTAGACGTAGCATGAGTAGAGCCTGCTTATTTGCTGATGTGTTTGGCACATACACAAAACTTAATTAAAAAATATTTAAGGGGTGTATCCAATTCAAACTTTTAATAACTTTTATAGAGATTAAAAGTCTAAAGGTATTCAATTTAGATTTTTAAAGAGTTTATAAAAGTCTAGTGGTATTCAATTTGGACTTTTAAAAAGTAGTTAAAAGTATTTAAAAGTTTAGTGGTATCCAGTTGTGACTTTTAAAAAGTCTTTAAAAGTTCGGTGGTAACCAAAAAGTTAATGACTTTTAAAAAACTTATTAAATGAATGACTTTTCCCTACTTTTCAGGCTAATTGTTAATGCTAATTTACTAGTGACTTTTTTTAAGTGAGTTACTTTCATAGAGTTGACAAATTCTTAAATACTATCATAGAGTTGATAAAAGTCACTAGTAAATTGGCAAGACTTTTGCTCTTAACAATTAGCCTTAAAAGTATGGAAAAATCATTCATTTAATAAGCTTTTTAAAAGTCATTAACTTTTTAAATACTACCAAACTTTTAAATACTTTTAACTACTTTTTAAAAGTCATAATTGAATACCACTAGACTTTTATAACTCTTTAAAAATCTAAATTGGCTACTTCCAGACTTTTAAACTCTATAAAAATCATTAAAAGTTTGAATTGGATACACCCTTTGAAGAATTTGTCAACTCTATGAAAGAATTGGGGGGTTTAGGTGTGCAGAGAAAATTTCAAGGGTCGATGGGGGGCTCAAGAGAGGTGGAGCAAACGACTGGGTGGGGGATTGCAGTGGGGAGAAGAAGGGAGGGGAATTGGGGTGGCGGAGGTAGGTGGGGAGTGGAGAGGAGAGGAGATGAGCGGGTTGTGTGATGCTGGGTCCTTGAAAACAAAGCATTTTTTTTTTAACACCTGACCTATACGTGGCATCATTTAAAGTAAAAAAAATGGGCGAACCTCAAAAGATCCCATATATGTTTGGGGTCATTCTCAATATGGGGTATGGGATATCAATTTCATCAATTTCAACCATAATGTTTTAATTATTGTCTAATTTTATCTTTCCATTAAGTTGACCGTTTGGTCAATCGTTAATTGCTGACGTGGCAGCCGTGAAAGCTGCTCCAATTGACAATTTAAGTATTTTTTAACTTATAAATAATTTAAAATTTTAGAAATTAATTATACAACCTAACAAAAACACAAAAAATTGAAAAACATAAAATAAAAGCAAACCCTACCTAGCCTCCGCTTTCCTCAGCCGCACCATCCTCTACCCTACCCACCTTCATACCCACCGTCACCCCCATACCCAAAAATAGTACCCAAAACAGAACAAGAGCTTTGAGGTCTAAGGAGGCTGATAAGGCTTTTCATGAAGAATATAGAACAAAGAAAGGAGTTTCTCTTTTGACATATGCGGCTTGGGTGAGAAATGAGACCTTGTTATAGTTCTTTCAGATCACAAGAGACCCAAGTAAGAAAACGGTGGAAAAAGGTAAGGGATAGGGAGGGTTCAATCCTAAGAAGTACGGACACGGATATGGATACGGCGATATGATACGACACGACATGGGGATACGGTAAATTTCCAAAAACTAGAATACGATACGTCATGGATACAATTATTAAAAGTATATATTAATATATATTAATAAATATATATAACTTAAAACAAAATTTTAAAGAAATAAAAAATTATAAATTATAAATATAGTGTAGCATTATGGGGATAATGTGGATAAGATTGAGGGGTTTGATTTCGCGAATTGGTGGAAGAATACGGTTTCAGAGAGAGATTTCGCGGTGATGAATATGGATGTGGAAGGGACTGAGTTCCATTTGATTCCCAAGTTGATCGAGACTCGTGCCATTTGTTTGATTGATGAGATTTTTCTTGAGTGCCATTCCAATAGATGGTAGAGATCTGTTATTGGCGATGGTGAAGGGGTGGATGGGTGGTTACAATTGAGGGACAGGGAACTGAGAAAGGAGCAGGGAGCTGGGCTGGGCTGGGCTGGGAGGGAGGGATGGTGGTGGTGCCATTGCTGCTACTATGGAGAAGTTGGCGACTGTTGTTGGTGTTGAGGGGCGGCTGGGGCTGGGTATGAGGTTGCAGTCGGTATGGAGGTGGGTAGGGTTTGGTTTTATTTTAAAATTTTCAATTTTATGCTTTTTTGTTAGGTTGTATAATTAATTTCTAAAATTTTAAATTATTTATAAGTAAAAAACTACTTAAATTATTAGTTGGGATGAGTCCCATGACTGCCACGTTAGCAATTGATGATTGACCAAATAGTCAACTTAACGGAAGGATAAAATTGGACAAGTTTGAAAACACAACGATAGTATTTTGTTTTACCGTTGTTGTTTTCTGGTCTTCTTTTTCACTTTTTGTAATAATGAGTCCTTTCATAAAACCCCTTCAAGTTTCAGAACTTACACTAAAAACCCCTTGAAATTTCAAATTATATTCGCAAAATCCCTTTCCTTAATTTCCGGTCAAAAATATTGATGATTTCTCTTTTTAAAAAAACTTTTTCAAATTTAAATTACAACATTAACCTCAACGATTAGACCTCGGTTGTATGCGCAATCTAAGATTTTATGTTAAAATTGTCATTTGGAGATTTTTGTGTGATAGCATCAACAATTTTTAGGTGGAAAATCAATGGGAGGGGTTTTGTATAAATAATTTGAAACATATGTGAGGTTAGTGGAATTTCCAATACCTCAAGAGATTTTGTGAAAAGCACAAAAAACTTAAGGGGGACAACAAAGTAATGATGTGTCATATGCAACATCATTTGGGATCCAAATTCGATGCACAAATTTGGTGTCCCTAACATTATTACTTTCATATATATGCTTCCTTTTTTTTCGAACTTAGGATTGCTCAAATCTTATCAAATTAATCTATATATATTTCATCATTTTGAATTTTAAGTTTTGTCTCATAAATTAATCTTAATCTTTAATAATCACAATAAGTTCAAGTTTTATTTGCCTTTTTTAGTAACCTTAGGGCCAGTGTGGCATTGCTGTGCTATGAAAATAATTGTTGTCAGATTTGCTGTGAGAGAAATCAACTGTAAGATAAAACAGTTTGACGTTTGGTAAACTTTTTGTTATAAGTGATGTTTGTACAATAATCAGTTTCGGAGTGTTTGGTAATTTTTTGTGGAAGTGCTGTGAGCTGTGTATAATGACTAAAAAGGGCATTATGTTGAATGATTTTTTTCTTCAAGTACAAAAGAAAATAATAGGTATACAAGTGAATTACAAAACAAACCAAACTAGCCACAACTCAAATGCAGTGCATAGATGTTTATCTAATCTAAACAAGTGCATATATGTTCATCTATCTCAAATGCAATGATAGGAGCTTACTTGTACAAATAAGCAGCAAAGCCCAAAGTAATACAGATCAATAAAAATATCAATACAGAAATTTCGGCTGTAACAAAAACAAAACTTGCATTAGATCCAACAACAAAGAAACAAAAATAGGAACATTAAAAAATAAACAAATAAAAACCAACAAATGGAAAACTGAAAATGTGTTTAGGAGGAGAAAATGGAAGTGTGCCATGTTAAATTGGGCACATCAGTAAGCTATCGTTGAGATATGAACAGATTTGGTTGGAACTTGTAAAAGCTTAAACAGTGACCAGCCTAAATAGATGACTCGGTGTCAGTCGAACTCGAGGGCTGTTGATCCTTAATTGTATTACAAAGCCAACAAGTTCTAAAGTCATTCTTTCCTTTTCAAAGGACAATGCTAACCCTGCAAAGTCAATCGATTCAATTAGTCTAATGCTAGATTGAATAGACTCATTGCTGGAGCATTAAGTCCAAACAAAGTATGAACTACTGACCAGAAAAGGAAAAAAACAAGGTATGAACAAAACAACCATTTCTCTATAACCAGATCGAAATATCAGAGTTTTCAAACCACCCATAATCCCTTGGATTCAACTCCAGCCTCCAGGGGAGTGACATTTTATATCTCTTTAATTATTTTGACACTTTACAATTATTTTTTGGAATTTCTGAAAAGAAAAATTAATCCCATGAAGTCTAGAACTAGTGAACCAGCAATGCCCAGCTGGGTCAATTTGATGTGTCTCTGGAGCCCGAGCACAGAAGAAGTAGGCTTCAACATCACGAGCCCAGGCACTAAGAACACAACCGTCATATTATAGAAAACCAACAACAACAACAATTGATACTTAAAACCCTAAAAATTAAAGAGAACGAATGAAGAATGAAATTGAGAAGAAATAAACACAATATGCTTCTTACTTGAGTCTTGTGGCTTCTTAGGAGTGCGCTTAAATTGATCAAACAAGAACAAAAATGGGGGAAGAATGGAAGAGAAGGAGAAGAGTGCCATGTGGCGTGGGAAGGAGAAGACGCACGAGAAGAGGAGAGCGTGAAATCATATTGAGGTATTTTTGGAATTTTGTAATTTTCATTAAA